GAGAGAGAGCAAGATATTGAAAATCTATTTGAAGAAATAATGACAGAAAACTTCCCCTACCTGGTGAAAGAAATAGACTTACAAGTCCAGGAAGCGCAGAGAACCCCAAACAAAAGGAATCCAAAGAGGACCACACCAAGACACATCATAATTAAAATGCCAAGAGCAAAAGACAAAGAGAGAATCTTAAAAGCAGCAAGAGAAAGAGACTCAATTACCTACAAGGGAATACCCATACGACTGTCAGCTGATTTCTCAACAGAAACTTTGCAGGCCAGAAGGGAGTGGCAAGAAATATTCAAAGTGATGAATAGCAAGAACCTACAACCAAGATTACTTTATCCAGCAAAGCTATCATTCAGAATTGAAGGTCAGATAAAGAGCTTCACAGATAAGGAAAAGCTAAAGGAGTTCATCACCACCAAACCAGTATTATATGAAATGCTGAAAGGTATCCTTTAAGAGGAGGAAGAAGAAAAAGGTAAAGATACAAATTGTGAACAACAAACATGCATCTATCAACAAGTGAATCTAAGAATCAAGTGAATAAATAATCTGATGTACAGAATGAACTGGTGATTATAATGAATCAGGGACATAGAAAGGGAATGGACTGACTATTCTTGGGGGGGAAAGGGGAATGGGAGATGCGGGAAGAGACTGGACAAAAATCGTGCACCTATGGATGAGGACAGTGGGTGGGGAGTGAGGGCGGAGGGTGGGGCGGGAACTGGGAGGCGGAGAGTTATGGGGGGGAAAAAAGAGGAACAAATGTAATCTGAACAATAAAGATTTAATTTAAAAAAAAAAGAATCAGGGGCATGGAAATGGAACAGACTGACAATTCTCAGAGGGAAAGGGATGTGGGGGGTGTGGGATGAGATTAGACAAAGATCTTATATTCATGTATGCAGTTCTATGGACACAGACAATAGGGTGGCAAGAGCGTGGTGTGGGAACCGGGTATTAGGGAGCTATGGGGGGGAAAAAGAGGGACACCTGTAATAATCTCAACAATAAAGATTAAAATTTTAAAAATTTTAAAATCCATGCCTTGTAGACTGATGATTCCATATACCATAGGTAGACATCTCAGTTACCTTAAGTCCTTTGGAAAAGAAGGATAAGATAAATAGTTGCTTGTTTAAACAATTTTTAATCAGAACACAGGACTTTAGGAATTGGGTTTGATACCTGGCTCTCTGCCTATCTATTTTATTTTATTTTTAAAAGATTTTTAAGGAGAGAGGGAGAGAGAGTGGAACATTAATCGACTGCCTCCTGCACGCCCTCTACTAGGGATTGAGCCTGCAACCTGGGTATTAGCCTTGACTGGGAATCAACTGGCAACCTTTTGTTGATTGGGATGATGCCCAACCAACTGAGCCACACTGGCTCACCTGTTTCTTGACCTATGCATATTCACATACCTTCTCTGGGCCTATCTCCTCATTGGTAAAATGAGAGCTGGATGAGGGTCTCTGTGATCCATCTTTTTAGTGGCTTTGCAAACTGTAGTTTTTAGCTATATCCTTTATCACTGGGAAAATAGTTATCTTTTTAAGTAGTAGGTAGTTATAAGTTAACACCAGATTTAGCACTAGAACAAAAAATAGTCTCATGACCGTACATGTGGTTTATTTAGTATTTTGGTTAAAGTTAATCAAATCTGTGTTTTCCCCCTAGTACAGCGGTCGCCAACCTTTCGGAGCTCTGGTTGGCAACCACTGTCCTAGTATATATCACAGCCTTGTGAACTAGCCAGCTCTGGTTCTATAACAATAGATGTTTACTGTTCAGAGTTCTGTCCAAGATCAAGGTTCTGGCAGATTCAGTTCTTGGTGAGCTGCCTCTTCCTGGCTTGTAGACAGATGCCTTCTCACTGTGTGCTCACAGGTCTTTCCTTTGTACATGGGCATTGAGAAATCTGTCTCTTTCACAAGGATACTAATCCTATCGTGTGGGTCCATCCTCAGGAGCTCATCTAAACTTCATTATCATCCTACCTCTAATACCATCACACTGGGGTTAGAGCTTCAAATTATGACTTTTGGGAGAACACATTCAGCTCATAACAAGCACAAAGTAGGTATCAATAAAATGTTTATAGCAGGAAAACCTTAGAAAATAATGAACTGTTGTCATTATATTAAATCAGCCAACTTGAGCATCTAGTATTTACAAACCTCTCTTCTAGTGTGAGTGGTTCACTAACCCGGCTGATTAGAATCAGCTGTGGAACTTAAAAAAAAAAAGCAAAAAGCAAATGATTGGGTCCTCCCTTAAGGAATTCAATAGGTCTGGAATGAGATATAGGAAGCTGTGTTTTTCAAAGTTCTCCAGATGATGATCAACCAGGTTTGAAAACCACTAATACAGGTATTGTGACCTTAATTTGGGGAACACAGGTCTATATTCTCAATTCACTGTCTGACATTATAAGCTGAAGAGTGGTAAATAGTTCAGAATATCCCAAGAATAAGGGGCCTTTTAATTGCTCTTGGAAGAGTAAACTCCCAATTATTTGCAATTCCATGAATTAAAAACATAGCTAAATGTTACAAATTGGCATTCTGTGTTTCTTCTAAACCCTTTTTTTTTTGTCCCCCCAGAGGAGGAGGAGGAGGAAAATGACCTCTTTGATGATCCTCTGCCGGTACCTTTAAGGCACAAAGTTCCAAACCAGCAAACTCATCACCCTGTGGTATTTCCAATGACTGAAGTATCACAAAACCAGCCTGAAAATCTGAGACAAAGCACAGGATGCATCAAAGCAAAGAGCATGAAAACCTCTCTTTGGGCAAACTTTATAGACTGTGAAGAATCCAACAGTGAAAGTGAAGAAGAATTACCAATCCCAGCCTCAGGTCAAGGAGATCCGAGCCCTCCACCCCAGCAAAAGACTGATGTGGAAGTACCACAGTGGGACGTATTCTTTAAAAGAAATGACGACACAGACTGCAGTTTGGAAAACTTCCCTTCCTCCACAGAGGCAGGGGGTTCTCAGTCACCAAAGCTTTTCAGTGACTCTGATGGCGAGTCAACTCACATCTCTTCTCAGAATTCCTCTCAGTCTACACACATCTCAGAACAAGGAAGTCAAGGCTGGGACAGCCAGTCTGACACTGTTTTGTTATCTTCCCAAGAGAGAAACGGGGGGGATAGTACTTCCGTGAACAAAGGTAGCTACAGACCAAGAGTCAAAGAGAATCTTCCTGGCTCTCAGATGGAACAAAATGTACTTTGCCCAAAGGATACTTACTCTGAAGATGTAAATGTAGTTTCTAGTGCTGGAGAACCAACCACTGTAAGCAGTGGGAAACACATACCTCAGGAAAGAAAGTTGCTAACTCTTAGCACCAATGCAGATTCACAGAGCTCCTCTGATTTTGAAATTCCCGCAACTCCAGAAGCTGAGCTACCTAAACAAGAGCATTTACAGTATTTATATGAGAAGCTGGCAACAGGTGAAAGCATAGTTCTTAAAAAAAGAAAAAGCTCACTCTTAGATACTTAAGAATTCATTCTAGGGACACCCCTGAAAAAACCTATATATACAAAGAAGTAATAGTCAAAATCTTAAGTCAAAATGCTCATATAACCTAAAGGAAGGCAATAAGAAGAAACAGGAACAAAAAATAGAGGGGAAAAAACATAAGATGTGGGAGGACTAAATCCAAACAGATAAATAACTAAATTAAAATGGTCTAAACACACCAATGAAAAGATAGGAAAAAATAAAACATAACCCAAGTATATGCTGTCTATAAGCAACTCACTTCACATGATATAGGTTGGTTAAAAGTAAAAGGATGAAAGATATACCATGTAAACACTACTCAATAGACAGGTGGAGTGACTATAAAAGGTGCAGTTCACCAAGAAGATACAATTTTAAATGTGCATGTACTTAACAACAGCTTCAAAATATGCAGGCATACCTTGGAGCTATTGCAGGTTAGTTCCAGACCACTGCAACAAAGCAAGTCACATGACATTTCTGGTTTCCTAGTGTACATAAAAGTTACGTTTACATTATACCGTGACCTATTATGTAATAGCATTATGTCTAAAAAAAACAAAAAAACCAGCATACCTTACTTTAAAAATACTTTATTGCTAAAAAAAAAAAAAATGCTAACTATTGTCCGAGCCTTCAAGTTGTAACCCTTTTGCTGGTGGAGGGTCTTGCCTTGACGTTAATGAGCATGCACTATTTAAGAGCAATAATATGAGGTATGCCTGTACAAAGGAGAAGCAACTGAAAGGAGAGACAAACCAATGCACAATTATAGCTGGGACTTCAGCATTCCTTTCACAGTAACAATTAGCTTACAGAAAATCAGCAAGGATAGAGAAGACATGAATAGCACCTATCAATCAACTGGATTCAATTGATACTCAATCCAACAATAGAATACATGCTTTTCAAGAATATATGGGACATTCACCAAGATAGATCATATCCTGGGTCATTGGAATACTCAAAATTGAAAGAATAAACTTGGCTATTATTATAAACTGAGGGTTATAGGAAAATTCAGCCCTGAACTTACCTCAAAAGATGTTACACCACTTAAAACAATTAAATGCCAAAAGTATATACATGTGTTCTGTGAGTCATTCAACTTTTCTAAAGTCCACCAATAGGATGTGCTTTTGCAGTTACATGTGTATTTAATAACATTTTAATGAACATTAATAAGCACTTTGGTATGCTGACATTTTTTAGATTAGGGCAGCAAAAGCAGAGATTTCACTTAAAACTAGTTTAAATAGAGTCTCTAAAACAATTTGCAGATCAGTTACACTAACAATGATACACATTATCACCATGCTGCAAGATAAATAGATCAACAATAAGTATTGGGTCCACCAGACTAATTAGGGTTACAAGACTTAGAGTTAGTGGGAGAGGAAAATAAACGGAGTACTCAGAGGAAGCAATGCTAAGAGGACCCACAAAGCCAGCCCTCTCATTTCTCCAGAAGGGTATGTGTTAGGACAGTGATGGCAAACCTATGACACGCGTGTCAGAGGTGACACGCAAACTCATTTTTTTGGTTGATTTTTCTTTGTTAAATGGCATTTAAATATATAAAATAAATATCAAAAATATAAATCTTTGTTTTACTATGGTTGCAAATATCAAAAAATTTCTATATGTGACACGGCACCAGAGTTAAGTTAGGGTTTTTCAAAATGCTGACACGCCGAGCTCAAAAGGTTCACCATCACTGTGTTAGGACAGATTTGCCCATCCATTTACATGGGGGAAAAACTGCACAGTGACTTCACATTTCAGTTAAACCGGCACAAGAGGAGGGATAAGGGGAAGAAACTGATGGGATAGGGCTGAGAGTAAGGGCCTGGTCATTTCTGATTGGTCTTTGAGGAAATGTTGGGTCACGATTATAGAGAAGTGTCTATTCTATATTATTCAGCAGTAAGTTTTATTAATATGTATGCCCATGGGGAGTGGTCTGAGCACAGTAAGAAACCTGGGGCAAAGGAAGTAAGAAAGATACAAGGGGTTTTAAGGGATCACTGACCCATTTTTTCTAGCTTGGCTGCTGCTCTAAGCTTTGGATGAAATACATTCTACAGACTTATATGAGGGGCAGCATTAGAGTCACTGTAAGTCATTTCATTTTGTCCACCTCCCATCTGAGTACTGTTTCCCAAATTCCAAGTGAGTATAAAGTCTCTGGAAAGAACCAATGAGGATTGCAAATCATTGGTTGAATATCTGGTCATAATTATAATAGGTCCATTACTGAAACCCAGAGACTTCATATTTTATTTATAGCTCTAAAAATTAGTTATAATTCATTCTCATAAATCATGCAATATACACATTTGTATCTTAATAGTGTAGCTTGTGATCCAAAAGGGGAGGGGGTGTTCAAAACATGCCTGTAAACATTATTCTGAATATATTCTTAGTCAGCATTTTAAAATCACACCATCCATGTAATAGTATATACTGCCAAATTTTTATTGTTTTATATGTGAGTCTGGCATAATAAATGCCGACTAAATGAATTTAAGGACTAAGAGCACTAGAACAGTTTTGATCAAAATACTTGTAGTGATCACAAAAGATGTTAAAGTACAGCTTTATACAGTTGACCCTTGAACATGGGACCCCCAAGTACAAACCTGTGTTGCTCAAGGGTCACTGTATAAACCTGTAATTTAAACATCAGTACAGGTTTATATACTGTACTTAAGGTACAGAATAATTACAGCTAATACATATGGTGCTTTCTCTGTGATAATGCTTAATTCTTTCACACACTGTGTATTAACTCCTTTAATCCTCACAACACCCTTTGAAGTATGTAAATACATTCATTATTCCTATTCACAGATGAGGAGGCTGAGGCACAGAGAGGTTGGTTTACATAGCTAGTAAAGGTTGAAGCCAGGACTCAAATACAGGCAATTCAGGCCCCAGAGTCCATGCTCTTAATCACTATGCAATAAGGCCCCTCAAAAAGAGAATAACAGTGAACAGGATTATTTATAGTGACTACTTGATTTTTTACTCCAAGAACTATAAAGTACTAGAAAGGCAAAAAAGTTTCAAAATGCCAAGATATGTCACAGAAGAAATCCAGTGGCTAGCCCCATTTGCCTTAGAGATGAATCCAAGGCTTAGAAGTTTGTCTAAACTCATAGTAGAAATTGATTTTTTTTTTAAAGTATGCCTGAAGATGTTAATTAAATATAGGTATCGTTTACTGGGTGATCTTGGGGATGTTAATATTACTTAATCAGTCTAAACCTACTTCCTTTGGTGTACTATAGGGGTGACAGCACCAAACTCATAGATTTATGAGTACATAGTATAAAGACCTAAGACTTGCTCAAGGAATATTTCTTAGCTCTAATTCTAAAATTCCTTTGCAGTTCTAGGCAGTATTTAGTGAAACTAGTTTAAATACCTGGTGATAATAATGCTCAAACAATTTTGAGAAATATCCATTCACATTATGCTAAGTTTAATATCCAAATGCATGAACCATGACAACGATAAACTTTTTAAAAAGAAATCTAACATGGAAAGGAATGGTATATAAACCTTTGGTTAACCTCAACAGCAGGTAGTCAGGAATACATCAGTATTTTTCTATCCTTTTTGTAGCCTGGAAAAGACAGTAATATATTCAGAAACAAAGCTAACCCATGATAAATAGAAAATCAAATGTCTACATTTATTTGCTAAAGAAAAACTATTGAAATATAAGAAAAATAAGTGCTGTATAGATTTTGCATATATGGAAAAATCCTGAGATTACCAATTGTGTATCACAGTCTTCATATGCAGAAACCGAAAACAATGGTATTAACAGTACTTCTACAGTGGATTAACTGACAGTTTAAACTTGATCTAAATACTACCTCTGAATATTTGCTTTATATTGAGAGAAAAAATTATGACAACTTAGGAAACTAATGTAAAGAAGCTAAATGTTGATTTTTCTACTAATGTTCAGCTTTTTAATAACGCAAGGGTAACACAGGTAATTAAAATCTCAAAGGCCCATTAAATTTCTATTAATAACAATACAGTTGACTGAAAAGAGCCATTTTCCCTTTGCCCTCCTGTTTTATATTTTTAACACAAAAAGACAAGATTAAGTAGGCAGTGAAACAGACTTTTAAAAAATGAAAATCACATCTTTAAACTTACCAATTATAATTCAAAGAATGCTTGGCCAAGGGGGAGCAACCTGTAAAATCAATGATGCTCTCTCAACACTGATACCATGTCAGTATTTTTTTTTCACACCTTCTGCAAATTTTGGTTAGCAAATATACTCTGAAGTTCTAAACATGTAAACAGTTTACCCTGTATTATGAAAGAGCAAAGTCCTAATAACAATATAATAATGAAATGTAGCTTTTCCCAAAAAAAGAGGTTAGGGATTAAGAAGATATTTTAAATACAAATATTTTTTTTAAAAAGAAAGTATTTGAAATGCTGCATTCTTGAAGTCAGTTCAATTTTACTAAAGCTTATTTTAGGCCATTAAAGCCTAGGCCAATGAGCTTAGAAATACCAAGAGCTAGACTTATTTGCTGCCTTTACTTTTATGTTGAACACCATGATTTAGAAAACCCAGAATCACAAAGAAAACCCAGATTAGAAAACCCAGAATCAGAAAGAGATGAAAACATAGTTTTGAGGTTTTACTATTCAGGAAAATAAACAAAACCAACAATGAATATATTCCATTTCAGTCTTCACAGTTCAAGTAATAAATGGTCTCATAATTCAGGCACACACTTTGGCCAAGCCAAGTTTAGCTTTGTCACATTTTAAAAACTCACATATAAAATAGGTATCAGTTCAAAATATAGATTATTTTTAAAGAAGAGCTTGCAGGAAATATAAAAATAGTTAAATTTGGTAGAAAGGAAATGTTCAAAACAGCCTGATACTCAGAAAGTGTATGTTGATGTTGTATTAAGTACAGCTGCTCTCAGGAGTATCTTGTTTTACTGTTTGGACCAGAAGTACTCACATGAATCTCCAATTCATGTCTTTGAAAAGGACCCTGAAAGCACCCCATTTCCCGGGCCTGGTACTCCAACAAAAACCTCCTGGTCCCAGTGCTGTGTCATTTCCAAGAGGCATTAATGGTCAACTATTCTAGAATTTTAGAGCTCTTGGGAGATTTTTATTCTATAGGATTGTGGTTCAAACACATACCCTTCAAATAATGGTCTAAATTGCTTCAAAATATGAAATAAAGCTGTAATTAACTTTTTTCACATTTAATTTTAGACCTTAAATTTCAGTATCATTAAGATATCAATGTTTTAATGAAAGAAGTAGAAAACAGGGTATAATTCAGTATCACCTATTTGTCTCCGATACAAGTACAATATTTATAGTAATAAATAGGTAAACAAGAATGACAACATAATAACAAAAATAGAACTTTACTAGTTCTCTAAATTCAAGGTATATGGCAAATTGAATGTTTGATCTTAGTGATCGTGACATTATCAGTTTAACACTTAAACACCGAAGGAGGCATTTCTCTGTTCACACAGACTTCTTAAGTATGTATATGCTGACCTGTAGTAGTTTTCCTTTCTTGTTTGGTATCTAACCACTAATTAGGTATATTTCAAATTGGTCTATGTGGCCTTGTGTTCCTCTCTTCAGAAGCATCAATGATGCATTTTGGCCAATAGTTTGAAACAGGAATTGTAAATTAACACAGAGTATAATCTTCATAATATGAAAAGAGTCCCAAATATTTATTTTTTAAAATGTTAACATTAGAAAAAAACAAAACTACATTTATCCTCAGCTCTATTTCCTGAAAATTCAGTTGAGGTAACCTCTGCAAGTCACAGCTCCACATTTGCACACAGTTCTGACTCTCTTTTTGGCTGGGCCGTAGTCAATAGAGTCTGAAGATATATCTCCAGAACCTGAATATGTAGAGAAAGAAATACAGGAGAAAGATAGTTAAGACAATTCAGAATGAGTTTCAAATTTTCAGCGTTAAATAAATGTGAATATTCAGAGAAAAATCATTATGAATTGTCTTGAAAGGATGGTGTAGGCTAATAAGAGGT